CTGTTGGCTTTTCTCCCATTGCTGTTAAGGTGGAGGAGTGGGTGAGAGCAGTTTCTGGGATGGAGGCACAGTTTCAGTTGAGAAAGCTCTTACAAGGTGAGGAGCCTGTTTCCTCCTCTGGCTGTTTATGCCAATGTCTCCTTCAATATTTAACATTTGTAAAAACAGATAGGTCTTCTGGAGAGCAAAGCCCACTGAACTGGAGACAGAGAAAACCTGAATAAACAAACATGTGCCACAGATTAGTAAGAACATCTGTAGGTTTTATATTGTTTTGAGAACACATACCACATAGCTTTTCATTTCTTATGCTTTTCTGGTTTCTCCCTTTCTTTCTGTCTCTCTGTTTTCTTCTTCTTTTTAAATATATTGCTAATAAAGGTTGGAGGTAGAAAGCACAGCTGGACTCTGCATGACATGCCACTGTTTAATTTCTAGCTCGGAGGATGAGAAGAAGAGTAGTTTTATTGTATCCTAGAAGAGAATAAAGCCACATGCAAATTCCAGCCATGGACATCTGTTTCCTCTTTGTGTGAAAGAATTCTCATATTTGGAAGGGAATCCCAGTTCTGAAGGGGCTGATGAGGGTTGGTTTTTTTTTTTTCTTTTTCTTTTGGTTCTTCCCCCTCTCCTTTGCCACTCCTTCAGCACACTCTCCTTGCTCCCTGCCTGCTCTGCTTCCTTTGGGACAATGTCAGCTTGTGATTTAGCATCAGATATTAACTGGGTGAATTTTGGGTTATTTTAAAATGTTGTGTTGTTGTTACTAAGCTCCTCCTTAAATTTCTTTTATTTAATTAAACAGTATTTGATGGGAGGACTTTTGCTCTGTAATCAATCTTCAGTGCTTGCAGTTGGTGTTTTTTTTAAAAAGTGGAGATGTGTGTATCTGCCTGTTGCTCTGGCTGTGAAGTGCAAGTATCTCTAGAAATAATTTATTAAAAATAATCTTTTAAAATCCTCCTGTATCAAAAGAGTTAAATTGATCTGTAGAAATAAGAATCTGCAACATTCATTACATTGTTAGACATCAGGTGCTAAGGACTAAAGCGACCAGGGTAAACGATAATTTCACTAACCTGTAAAACATTTTAGAATAATGATTTACAGCTGTCTGAGGGCTTTAAACTTTTCTCTTTTTTTTTGGTGTGTGTAAGAGTTGACTGTGTTGAACAAACAGCCCAGTTATATAACGTTGGGCCAGCCGTGAGAACTGGTGCTCTCTGGCTATTTCGTATTAACGTCGACCGAGAGGCTGGTGGAGCTCGCCAGGGTTTCGTATTTGCTGGCAGAAGGTTACCCACATGTGTGGACCACATTTTTATTGTTGCCTTAGCCTATTTCAGACATAAATATCGCTGCCTGGCAGGGTGTGATTCTGTTCATTGCTCAAAAGCTTTTCTTTTAAAAAGCAAAATATGAAAAGGAACGGAATGGTGCAAATGTTCAAGTTAAGAAGGGTCCCCAGACGGCGAGATTTTGTCACGTCTGTCATGATGGAGAAATAAAGGGCAATAAGCCATCTGAAGGCTTTTTCTTTGCTGGATGAGTTACCCTTGTAGAGCTATTTCTTTTTGCATATATTAATCCTGCTTTTGGGCGTGGGGCTGTTTAGTCTGGTCTCTGAGGGAGACAAGGCTTATGCAAACAGGGTGTATGGGCAGCCCTTGGACGTGTTGGCCATGGAGATGTGGCCCAAGGGCAGAGGCTGCAAAGATAAATAGAATTCCCTATAAGTTTCTTGAAAACATGTGAGGGAAGAGTAAAGGTGATTAAGAGGTTTGAGGGAAAGCTTGCAGTAGGAACTGAACTTTCAGCAGAGGCTGCGGAATAGATGTCAAGAGGAAATGTGATAGAGGGCTCTGATGTGGGAAGATCGCCGAATCCAGCTTGGAAATTATTTGGCTTCAGAGAATCTGATGACAAAAACCAAATCCGCAGGAAGCCAGACTTTTGTTCCAGTACCCATGAAATTGCTTGTGTGGGTTTTGTTTTTAAATCAGGATGTTGTCAAACAGGCTCCAGTGGAGACTTCAACTGTGAGAAATAGAGGACATCTCTTCTTAGGGTCTTTGTGCAGGCAAAGGTGCTGCTCGGCTTGGTTTTGTTGTTGGTGCTTCCTAGTTTGATTGGTTTTCGTAAGTTTTCAAATTCTAATAGCGTGACAGACTGAGAGATTTGGGGTTGTTCAGCCTGGAGAAGAGAATGATCATGGGAGACCTTACTGCAGCTTTCAAGTATCTGAAGGGGGAAAGCTGGAAGGGGACTTTTTACAAGGGCATGTAGTGAAAGGACGAGAGGTAATGGCTTCAAATGGAAGAGAGTAATTTGTATTAGATATCAGGAAGAAATTTTTCACTCTGAGGGTGGTGAAACGCAGGAATGGGTTGTCCACCGAAGTTGTGGATGCCCCATCCCTGGAGATGTTCAAGGCCAGGCTGGATGGGGCTTTGAGCAACCTGGTCTGGTGGGAGGTGTCCCTGCCCATGGCAGGGAGGTTGGAAATAGGTGCTCTTTAAGGTCCCTTCCAGCCTTAACCATTCTATGATTCCATGACTTATTGAATGTTTAGGCCCTGATCCTGCAGGCGTCTTAGAGAGGAGGGAGCCCAGCGACTGTGCAGATCCCACTGACAAACATCTGAAACCAGCCCAGGACCTTTGGAAGGCTGTGTGTTGCAGCATCTCATGGGGCTCACGGGGAAAAGTGAAATCCCCATCCAGTTCTGGGTCCTGCTGAGCGGGGCACAGAAAGCAAACACCACTAACGAAAATCAAACAGTGGTCATGAACCGAAATTTCCTCTTTGATTGAAATGCTCCTAGCTAGGAGATAAAAAGGGGTGTAGGTCAAAAGCTTCCCTTGTTGTCTTATTAGCAGCTGCATAATTTAGCACTCATTCACGAATATAAAAAAAGCAAAAGTTGGAGACTGTATTTGAAAGCTTGTTTTGTTTGGTGTACAGCTGGATACAGAGCGTTTCCTTTTCTCTTTTTTAACAAATTTGAAGCAAATGTATTGGATATTGTTTCTATTTTTTGGCCTAGATAATAGAAGATTTTGTTGCTTTTCATTTTACATTGCAAAGAAATCATGCCGTTTAACTCCAATTCAACTATGATGCAGCAGCATGTGAGATATATCTATCTTCTCATAAATATATTACCACACATTACTGTCAAATAGCTGGACTTTTTCACCCAGTAGTAAAAACGAAATTTAATTGCTACACTAGAGTTTCATGGCCCTGATAAATAAGAGCCACGTCTGACCTTTATTGTGGGGCTCTGAGATGCCACCAGGGATATTGCTCATTGTTCAAGATGACAAACTTCCTCTGAGATTTCAGTTTGTCAGCTCAATGTACAGCAGTGACATTGATTTCTTCTCACTGCCATTTCCTGCCTGAATAGATAACAAATTTTCTGTGGCAGGTGTCTGTCAAGCTTAGTTTTGCCTGGCAGATTAACTTAATAGACTCATTTATTAATCATTAGTTGCAACACAGTGAAGCAGACAATACTCTTTAACTCTTGTGATGTTGAATGGATGTACCATTTTGGATTCCTTTGTGTAGCTGGAATTTGGATTTAATAAACTGTCCATATCTCTGTAGTGACTGTTTTTAACCTGACATTACTGAGGTTACGAAGAGCAATGATTTATGTATGTTAAGTATGACCCATTTTGAGTATGTACTACTTTTCATGGCAAAAGATGCATAAATGCTTTTGAGACTAATAAAATGATGGACAAATTACAAAATCAGCCTGCGTAAGGGGGGAAACTAATCTGGCGTGCATCCTGCTTGGGGAAGGAAGATAAGAGTAGGAGAAGAAAATAGATACTTGAAGAACATTAGAACTGGAGCTGACCAGCTGTTGAAGTGGAAGAGATAACTGCAGAAGCATTTAGGCAGGGGCAAAGCAGACCTGCAGAGACAGCTGTGGGGCAATTCTGGCACAGGCTAGTATTTTCACAAGGATTCCTTCCTCCAGGTTGTCTTGAGATAGATACCTGGGCTGGAGATAGTAAAGGCAGGGTTGGTACCAGAGGTGGATATTGGACAGGGCTTGTCAGAGTGGTGAAGGAGCAGGAAGAGCCAGAGGAACTTAGGGGAGAGACTGGAGGAGGAGAAAACAATAAAGAAAGGTAAAACCTTGGAAAGTAATGTTTCTTCTTGCAAGGAATCAGTCTGCTCATGGTGAAAACAGACTTATTACGTGTGTTGACCCTGCACAGACTACAGAGCTGAGGGAGAAGTTTTTTTCCTTTTTCCCCACTGTTAAGAGAGTTCTGTAGAGGAGCTGGAAATGCACAAGCACTGCTGGGGACACATGGCAGCAGGGATGAGCCGAGGTAGAGATATGGGCTGTTGCTGGGCAGAAGAACTTCTCATTATAGGTGATGAGAAGAAAGTCACCAAGCCTTCTCCCTTGGCTTTTGCTTGGGTTGTGGTAGATCTTCACAACCTGCTTTTAATTCTCAAGGGCGGGTGCAACTGTGGGATCACTGGGAGATGTTCAGGAGAGTTTCTGCAGCTGATGCCCAAACTGCAAAGCCCTGGTTGGAGCCCAGCTGTTTTCAGCTCAGCCTTTGCAGGAGTGTACATTGCTTAAGACGTTTTTTTTTTACCAACTTGTGTTCCTGGCCTTGGGACCGTGTTCCTTGAACCATCCTTTATGGCTTTCTTGGCTGAGCGTCAAACCAAGGATGTCCCTGCACTAGATCATGCTGCTTATTGCTCTTCTAGGCCACCCTGGTAACAATACATTAACCTCTCAGCAGGGAATGTGATAAACAAAGTAAAACTGCTTTAGTGAAACCAGTCATTTAATGGCAATGTACATAAAGTGTCCTTAAAGATTTGTAAATGTAATAAGCTGCAGTTCACTGAGTGAACAATAGCTGTTCCTAATTTAGCCAGTTAAGGAACATGCCAAGCTAATTTGCTTTTGTAACATTATGTTGTTGTTGTTTTTTCTTTTCCCACCTATGCAGATTCCTTTCTCTCTGGTACAATTTCCCCTCTGGGAGTCCTTAAAGGTAAGTCCTTTTTAATGATAGAAATATGAGTTATACATTTCACAAAGGCTTTCCATGGTAACTTAACTAACTTGATTATCACAATTATGGGTGCATCCAAGAATCAGTAAGTATGTACCAAACCACCTGTGCATGTGAAGATCATTTGCCTGAATATCTGAAAAATAACAGGGAATATCTAAGCACTGATATTTGGCATGCAGTCTTAAGTTTTACTCCCCGACATGCCAGAATTCTTATTTTCTGCTCTAGCTTTTTTTACGGATTAAAGAAGAGTGGGAACCATCTTGAGTTTTGTGATATTTTTTATTTTATTTTATTTAGCATTTCACTCTTCAAGGTAACAGGAAATTGTGAATGACAGAGAAAACTGATTAAGCTTGGTTTTGTAGGCAGGGAGAGGCTCTCGGTGCATCACTGACAAGCTGTTTTGATTGGCTGCATGTACTTGATTTAAAGGTCGTTTAAAGAAGGTGTCAACTGGATGATGTTTTAATAGTGCAGTCTTTCAGAATGATGAGCTGTTCTCCCACCGGGTGGTTGCTTTGTTTATCATGGACAGAGTCAGGGTCTAGATTTTTGAGCACAGAGTTGGATTTGAAGCCGTGTAGTTTCTCTGTACCTCTATTTGATGAAGGAAAGGCAGGGTTTTTCAGGTGTTTTGAGATCCTGGCTTGGAAGCACCAAAATTATTGCATATTGTTAAAGGCATTGTAGCAAAATGTAATGTTTATAAGAGAGGAACTGGAGGAGAGTAATTTTCTTGTTGTTAAGGGTGCTGGACTTTTGAGAAAGCTTAGCACTGAGACCTGAACCAGGCAGAGGTAGTGGGAACCACTGACAATCTTCCGTGCCCCTTGCTGCTTCTATTGAGGGAGGAAGGCTTATGTTCTCCTTGGTCCTTGTATCCTTGGTTGGGACAATAGCTTGCCCTCTCACTGTGTGTCACTAACTTGGGTTGTTCTGGAGCCCACAGTGTGAATGTTTGCATCTAGAGGCTTCGGGGAGTCAAATATAGAGGGGAGTCCACGGGAGGAGGAGTGTGAAACACGTCAAGAGCTTTCACAGAACTGAGCTGTGTTTGGTAGAGGATTCTGTAGGTACCTCATGAGCTTGGCCTGCCGTGGTGTCTGGGTATCGTCCCGTCGCGCAGGCGAGCTTTGCCTGCCATATTAGGAATCCGATTCCCTGCCAGTGTCTAGGAATGGCTTTCTGTAAACTCTTCAGCAGCGTTACTGGCCTGACCTGCTAATTGTTAGTGCAGCAGCCGTGTTTGGGAGCAAGAGGTGGCTGTGCTTAAAGAGAAAAAACTGCAGGGTTCTTGCCAAAACCACATGAAACAGCAACATCGTGTAGCTGTTTTCAGAATGTAAAGTTGTTTTAACTAATGTCCACGTAGCTGTGGCAATAAAATGTATTGTTTAGATTGCAGGCTTTGAAGAAGACAGTTTGAATTTAGCTAGCTACAGGAGTGAGTCACTTAGGAAGAGACATCATGTTTAATCTAAAGAGGTCAGTGCAGATCTGAAGAGAAACAAAACTGGGTTAGCTTGTTCTATGGACCAGTTGCAATATATTCTCCTGCTTATGAAACCAAGAGTAGAAAATGGCAAAAATCAGTCTTGCATGCTCCAGTCACTTTGGCTCAGCAGATGGCGAGAGCTCAAGGTTTGTCACATCAAAGCCAGGCAGTGAAAGCAGAATATGTTTTGTTTATCTGAATGAAGCTCTTAAAAAAAATTGGCCTGACAGTACAACAAAAGAAAAAAACCATTATGGTCCCATCATCAGGCTGGATGTGGCCAGTAGCATCAACAGGAGCATGATTCAAGGTAGGGCTTCTCATGGGTGCATGAATGGACCATGCAGAGACAGTAATTACGAAGAAGTAGGAGTGCAAAGGGCAAGATAAAAATGGCATGAAGCCCGAACATAGATGAGTTTACTGAGGCTGTCAGTTAATGTCTGAGGGACTATTCTGTGCTGTATTAATGGGATTACTTGGGAAAGTAAACATGGGAGCAGTTTGATGTGTGTGGGTCATCTCACAGAAGAGAACAGAACAAGTGCTGGGGCTGTGTCATTTTAAAAACCATTAGTACAAAGTTACATAAGCTGATGGATGATAGACTCAGTCTTATAATTCCACGAACAAGCTAATCACTGTAAAAATGAGGAAAAATATCTTTCCACTGTAAAAGGACAGTTCACGAGGCAGATGGAAGAAGAGAGTTTCCTTTTCCTTCACATATGTGCTGGCTGCAGCCAGCAGCAGGGCGTTAAGCTTAAAGAAGCCTAATAAAGGCTTGTTGTAGGCAGCAAATCAGGTGTTTCTATATCCCGTTTTCTCTACCTGCTTTGCTTCAAGCTGCTATGTTTATTCTTTGTGCTTCCAACTGGTTTTAACTACATAGTTTACATGCACTGTTTACTTCTGTCTGTGAATGTAGACCAGCTGTCCGATGGGAGAGTAAACTTGCATATCATGCACTGAGCCACGTTAGAATAGAGAGCATTGTATAAATTACTGAACTATAAGGTTACGTACACTATGAGTGCTGGCAAAGGGGGTATTGCTGTAATTAGCAAGAAACATACTGCTTCAAATACAAACCTTGCTGTTGGCTACTCAGGTGAACACACAGTTTAGAAGTAGTTAATAGACTCCTTTCTTAGTTCGCAGTCACTCAAGAAAAAACAGTAAAGAAATGGTGGTGATTTTAATAAAAACAAAACCAACAAACCCCCTCTATTTTATTTTTTTTTGGATGTAGGTAGCATGCACTGCTATCATGCATGCTTAGTGTCCTTTCTCTTCCCAATTCTTCATTTTTCTGTATTTTGTTTTAGGCACAGATTGTTGATATAAACCAAAGGGGAGAAGGAAACTGTGCTATGGTGTATGAGATTGCAGGACAGACGTTGTAATTCTCTACTAGGGTAAGTTAGTGTAGCACTTCTTTTTAGCCCAGACTTTACAGCTAAAACAATTTTGAATTCTCAGAGTTGAGGAAAGGAAGGGGCATCGCAAATTTCATTCACTCTCTGCCACACCAACCTTTGGAGGAGCAGCACGGCTGATTACTGCTGCAGGAATTTGGTCAGATTTAGGTTCTTTTAGGTGGGGCTAGTGCTTCTGATCCCGTCCAAAAGCCAGCTGGCCGTGAGGAAAGGCAGCAGAACATAGATGTGGTGCACTTCCCAAATGCCAGCAAAGCACACTCCCTGCCACATTAGTTCAAGTTTTAGAATAACCTTGTAAGATACAGTCCCCTGCTATGCTGCCTTGGAATTTCCAGGGTGCCTCTCTAACTTGCTTTGGAAATACTATATGGGTGTTCTTCATTGTGGGAATTTCAAATTACAGGGCTGCCTGTTTGGCATGAAATGGTTGTGGGTTCCAGGGAGTCTCTGCTTTCACCCTGCTGCCAGGGTGGGAGTCTCCGCTCAGATGACTGTACTTCTGTGGAGTTCATCCCCTCTGTATTATCTTCTGTTCTGCTCTGTTCAGACGTTTTATTCAGCACATCTAATCATCATATTGGAGTACCTACCAACAGCACATAAATGATTTATCATTTGTTTCATGTAGCACTTTAATTTGTATTTTTTCTCTTTTAGACCTGGCAATAAAAGACAACTTTTTTTTTTTTTTTTTCTTTTTTTTTTTTTGTGGGGATATTGCAGACATACAGGGCATCAGGTTCTTTTCAACAAAATAGAGTTAAAAAAATCCCCACAAAATGGAGATACTCTGGTTAGGTTTGAGTCTTGTCAAAAATGCCTGCTTCTTATGTCTGAGTGGAAATGGTCAGGTCCCTTGGAGAACAGTGCTGAGTGTCTGATAAACCCGTCTCAGGTGAAACAAGACTCAGGCCTCTTGGGTTTTATATTTCTGCATGTTGGCTGCGCTTCAGAGCCTCTGAGAGTTACTCCAACACAGCTGGACATGGAGAATGCTCTCTTTATAGACCAAATATATTGTATGTCTGGAGCAAAGGCTCTGGGAGCCAGTGAGGAGGGAGGAACAGGCGGGACAGGAGGACATAGTCTCAAATTAGTAGATTTGAAAAACAAGGGGGTTTTTGTTTGGTTGTTTTTTTTTTTTTTTAAGGAAAACAAACCTACTATCCTGGGAACCTTTTGTCTTTTTCATTAGACATGTCCAATTCTGAGATGAGACACTTGGATGTTGCTAAGACTGTGTAACGTCAGGGTCAGGCTGACTTCACCCTGCAGCCTGTGTGTGCCAGCGAGTCCTGCTCTTGCACACACAGCCTCTCTGGGAGGGCTGGCACAGACTCTGCTGCTCTGCTGGCCCAGGACCTGCAAGGAAAGATAAAAATCTTGGACTGACCACCCTCAAGGTGATGTTCTGGCTCTTCTGGCACTCAGTGAGGCCAGGATTTCTCTCTCTGTCTCGGTGCTGGTAGACTTTCTGCAGCTGCAGTGAGCCCACACGATGTTTTTGTCACTGGCTTTAGCACCAAAATAATTTTATCAAATCTTAAGTCTCACAAATTGAAAGGTGTTTTACAAAGAGAAATATTTGGTTGGACCTTCAGTTAGTGACAGGGAGCTGAGAGACATGGGCAGGTCTTGCTTGTGGGATTTTGTAATGAGAATGGTGGCATGTGATAGTGGTATAAGATGCTGAACAAGCAGAGGAATGCTTTGGTGGCTTCAGAAGAGAATGATTTGAAGAGTACACACAGGCACGTTTTCACCCTGTGAAGTGGGGCATTGCAGTAAAGAGAATGGGAAGAGTCCAGCCCTGTGAGGCTGAGCAGTAGCAGAAGGTTGCTTGGATGAGAACAGAAGTTTTCCATGTTGTTCCTAAACTGTTTTCTGCCCATATGATGGAGAGCAGGCTTGGGATTTGGCTTACACTTCCATAGGTCCCTTTTTTGCTCTTCACCCCAGGCACTTGCGTTGAGAGGAGTAGAGCTTGGGAAATCTGCTGGTGGAATGGACTATAGATCTACATGAAGGCATTGGAA